CATTGTGGTCACCATACAAGGATAAAACCACCTCATTTTTTTTTCACTCCAAAAAGGAGTTTATCCAAATAGTCCATCCAGGAAGAGTAGAGAAACTGTAAAACAGAAATAAAAACTTAACCTTTTAGGAGACCTCTCTTGTGGTGCAAGGGGTTAAGTCTCAGCACCATGAAGCTATCGGCAGCCACTGTAACACAGGTTCCATCCCTGACCAGGGAGGTGACCCACAGGCACAGCAGACCTCTCCTGTCTCGCCCACTGCTCCCCTCAGCAGTGTATTTCAGTGAGTCTGCCTGTTCTGTTCCCCTCTCTGTCTCTGCTGAATCTTCTCACCCTCCGCACCTCCGGACTGCACCCCAGCTCGTGTATGCATAAATAAATCTTTTTTTTTTTTTTTAAAGAACTTAACCTTTTAGCAGACACATGCAAACTAGTCTTCTTCACCTTAGAGCCTTCCCACATATATTGGTAGATCCCATGTCTCTCTTTTTCTGTTTATTTTATTTAAACTCCATTTTGGATAAATAGCTACCTCTGGGGAAATATAAACATAGCACCTCCTTATAGAACCACAATTTCCGGTTCCATGACATCCCTTCTCTCATCAGTGGTATATATAATTTTTATGGAGTTATAATCCATTTGATACTTCCTAGTGTTCTGTTTTTTTCTTTTTTTTTTTCTTCATTTATTCAATCTTTCTGTTGTTCCTGTTAGGTGTTGAAGAATGTGTGAGGTAATGAGTTTAGAAGCCATTTCCCTACCATGAAGTAGGTCATACCCTAGTTAAAAGAAAGGAGTAATTCATTTCAATACAATGTATTTTGTGCTCTGGAAGGAACACATATTCAGATAAATCAGACTATAAGGGCTTTCTGTGAAGGGAACATTTTCAAGTTTAGTCATAAATGACTAAAATGAATTATTAACACATTGTTTGGAAGAGAATATGCACCGGCCAAGGAAATAGAAGTGAGTTTTCTAGTGGCCCTGAATGGAAGGTGAGTGTGTTATTGGAGGTCAGTTCTAAGAATGCAGATTCTGAGACAAAAATGACTATGCATGGAGCTTATTGGGGGTGCTATGTGATCAATACTTGTGGGAAGAGAAAGAAGGAGGATTGAACAGAGAGTTGAGGTGCAGTGCACTTAAGAAGTGACCTTGGCTAGTATGGGGGTTGGAGCCCCAGAAGTTGGGGTGATCCTCTACAGGTAGAGTACCTTTATATTTCCAAACTGACCAATCACTGGGTACAGTGACACCCCAGGAAAACCTGGGCTTGATGATACATTTCAGCCAAAGGCAATCCCAAGAATGACCACAGAAATCTCTATTTACCAACTATCTCTACCGCTCAATAGAGGAGGTTACTAAATCAGTTTGCTGTCTTTCATCTGGAATCCTCTCAGAGATTTGGTTTCCTTTATGTCCACAATATATTCTTTGTGCAAACAGTTATTGTGACAGTACTAGTTTTGATTTCACTCAACCATGGGCATGAGGAACAGAAATCCTTTCAGAAAAGCTTATTTTGGATCATTTTTTCTTAAAAGACAGTTGTTTTCATAGGTGCACCTGGGGAAATATGGTCTCTACAGACAGTTTGTTTAATCAGATAAAAGACCATCAAGTCTGCCACTGTGAAAAGACAGTGATAGGGAAAAAAAAGATGATCTTCATCAACTACTTAGGATGCTCTCTTCTCTCTGCCTTTTGTGGGTGGAAATCAGTAACTCCAAGGAGATCATGTCTTCATCTGTTAAAAGTCTACCAAGGGTGGGCCTCATTGGTGGTGCAGCAGGTTGAGCACAGTGCTGTGAAGCTGTCCACAGCCTCTGCAGCACCGGTTCAATTCCCAGCCTGCAAGGGAGACACCCACATGGCATGGCAGACCTTTCCTCTTTCGCCCACTGCTCCCCTCCGCAGTGTATTTCCTCAGTCAGCCTGTTTTATTCCCCACTCTGTCTCTGGTGAATGCTCTCACCACTCCCTCCCCTCTGCCAGATCTCTGGCCTGTACCCCAGTTCTTGTATAAAAATAAATAAATCTTTTAAAAAATTAAAAAAAATAAAAGTCTACCAAGGGTATTAAGAAATAAGGGTGTGGTTTAGAATGTAGTGTCACAGAAGCAGCAACAGCAGCAACATCTAAGAATTGTTAGAAATGCTAATACTCAGGGCCCCCTACAGACAGATAATATATCTATTGGGACAGAAATGTTGGGGTGAAGCCCTGTGATCTGTGCTTTAATAAACCCTCCAGATGATTCTGATTCTTGCTGCTGGGGCTTCATTTACTGCAGGTAATAAGCATCCTAAGTCAGAGGGGTACAGGCCAGAGGTGTGTGTGGGGGGTGAGAGGATTCACCAGAGACAGAGTGGGGAACAGAACAAGAGGACTGATTGAAATACACTGCTGAGGGGAGCAGTGGGCGAGTCAGGAGAGGTCTGCTGCACCATATGGGTGACCTCCCTGCCTGGGGATCGAACTTGTGCTGCAGTGGCTGTGGATAGTTTCATAATGCTGCGTCTTAAACCCTTGTGCCACCAGGAGGCTACTGCCACCACAGCACTGTAAGTTTCCTCTTGTCAGCTCATTCTATTCCCCTCAGTTCTTAAGAAAGAAATGTCTGGGATGAAAATATTCTTTCCTTAATTCCAAACTACAGAGAGTGTGTGAACCTGAATAAGGGGGGCCAGGAGCCAATTATCACTATCATTACTATTTGACAGTGACATTGCCCATGGTGTTCAGGTTCATGGTGTCTAGAACACAGGCAGACCTATTGAGGAGGGAAGATTTGCTCTGGCTTTGACAGCTCTGTGGCTTGCTGGGTTACTTTGAGCAAGTTATTTTACTTTAAAGTCTTGTTCTCACCTGAGTTAAGAAAATAACAGTAAGTACCTTGTGAGGTTAATCTGAGAATTGTATAGATGTTAAATGGGAGATTTGCATCTGAAAATTTCCTGATTTAAAGAGCAAAGATTCTGCAGATGTTGAGAAGCAAAGTGACCTGTATTTGCAGTTTTTCTGTATTTCTCTTTCATTCACTTCCCCACCTCTGCACCAACCTGAAGGTAACTAAGTCAGTGCTGGGTCTGAAAGGTGAAGTTCACTAAGACTTTCTCCTGACTGCCAGGCTTTGCTTCATTGCTCCTTGCACTACTGCAGCTGACCCTTCTTGCTCTCAAAGTCCTGTTCAGTCCCTCCTCTTCCCTTTCAAGTCAAACCCAGAAGCATCAGCCAGTAGTTAAGATGCTTATTTAGTTAGATTAAGGAAACAGAAATGGAACATATTTTGTTCCTCAGCAAGCTTTACATTCAATGGTAACTGTTATCTCAAGTTAAGCAGTGACTCTGAAGCAGAACATAAACGTAGTAAAACTGATGCCAGATTTTTTGGCCATGGCTCTGCTGAAGTCAGTAGTAATGATGGGAGAGTCACCAGCTCTGTCTCTGCCCTGGCATTTGTCCCCTGATGATTTCCAAGAATTCCTGGCTGGAAAAGCTGATCCCTTCAGCACTGGCATCTCCTAGCACCCTTCTCCTTGGCAGAGGAGACCCCTCTCCCACCACTTCTACCCTCAGGTCACCTGAACCAAGGACAGGCTGGCCCTGTCCCCTCTCTCCTAACACTCAACTAACACCTCCTTCTACTAGCAAGACTCCTTAATGCAGATTTCTGAAAAATGTGACTTTATACACTTTAATTCACTCTACTTTGTAGCATTCACATGATTAAAAATGAAGATATATATATATATATATATATATATATATATATAAACAAGCTCTTCCACACTGTTTTCTTCTTTCAGTCTATCCCTAGCTCTGCCCAAAATGCAGGTAATTATGGTAATTTATGTCTTATATATTCTTTACTTATTCATACACAATGATGGTCAAATGCAAAATTTGCATTTTAATAACAAATGTATTTTATACTCACTTTTCTGCATCTTGCCTATTTTTAGTACTCTTTACAGGAAGAACACCCAGTTTTTATAGGAAGAGCATCCAGTTTTTTTCCAGCTGAACTGTGCTCCTTTGTGTGAATATACCTTACTTCTGTTGAGTTACATGACTTCGAGTGGTTTCCTGTAGTGCAATGTTATAGATACTGCTGCAATGAATAATATTGTATATAAGTTATTTTACACATGTGCAAGCATTTTTATAGGATATAGCTCTAGAACTAGAATTGCTGGATCAAAATCTATATGTATCCATCATTTCAACAGGTACTGTCAAATTTCCTCTACAGTGATTGCATCAATTTCCAGTTTTCTGGCAAGTTGTAAGAATATTCTTCCACTTAGTCTCCACAGAGTATTTTCTTAAACCAAACTTCAGATTTTTACATCTCCAATAGATTATAAGTGGTTCAATATTCACTTTGAATTATTCACTCAACTGTGAATAAAGGACTAGACTTTCAGAGTAAAATTAGGTATTTATGAGACACGTAGTAGCATGAGTGAGGTTGAACCCCTTTCATGTATTTTTTTGTCCTGGCAAACTGCTTGTTTAGGTCCTTGGGTCCATATTTCTATCGTGTCACCTATAGTAACTATTCAGTATTTAATGATATTTCAAATCTTGCAATACAAATTACTTCTAGTATTTCTCATGGCTTCTACCAATTGCTGGCAAATAAAGCATTGAAGCAAATGTTTTATGTAATGGAAAATATTATCACAGTGGAAACATTTCATTGTATGTACCAAGCCAACTTTATTTAAGTCATAGCCCTTTGAAGAACCAGCTATGAAATATGAATGAATCTATCTCAACTCATACCAGCGTTAAGATGGACAGATAATGTAGAGTGACATTGCAAAATATAGTCAATATACATAATCTCAAAGCGGAAATATCTATAAAATAAAATCAAAATTCTATCATTTTATAACAGACGAAATTATAGTATCTGCAGAGTCCTCTCACCCCTCCACCTACCCCATGCTTTTAAAACCTACAGTTACCCTGCTCCACATGAATCAAGGGTCCCTTCCTTGTTCACCCAACTTTTCTGTGAGTCTGAATACAAAGAACAGAATCCGCTTGATTTCTACTTGGACAATGGTCCAGGCACAGCTGCTGTATTTGTGGTTTTCCAGGAAATCCCAGATTCTTTGGAAGTACATTTTAACCTGTAACCTAAGGTTGTCACTCCTCAAGCAGCCACTTTTCTGTTCTGCTTCCAGCTCCATCCGTGCTTCCAGGTATTCCAGCTGTTGATGAAGTGCAATGAAGAATGTTTCCAGGTGGCTTTCCTTCCAACCATCCAGAGAAATATTTGCCCTGAAGAGGCTGAAGATCTGCTGAAGCATTTCGTGGAGAATGGTTAGTACCTGTCTGGTCTGGTACTGGTGAGGATTCAAAGACTTCTGGGGAAGCAGGAAGTCTTTCCTGTGTGGTAGACACTGCTGGATGGTCGAGGTTTGCAATTTATTGTAAAGTTTTAAGCTCTCTCTGTTCACTCTTCTTTGCTGGAAGATAACCAGTTTAAGTTCCAGGGAGAAGATAGTGGAAGAGGCCAGCAATAGCAATAGAATTGCAAAGAAATATTTGCTAATCATGATGAAGGTGAAATATGCCACTTAGCTCTATGAAGATTTTGTGTAAAGCTCCAAGTTTAGTGACTTTGCCTTTCATGCATCTCAGATTGTTCTGGAAGGTGTTTTCTTTTGTTGGTTTTGTTTTCTACGGCTGTCATTTCATCAAGTTTACATATTAGGCTTTCTGCTTCCCTTTTCATAATGCTCATTGAACATTTCCTCCACTTTCCCTATTGTGTTGGGTTTGAGGAGGTAACCAAGAGAACTTGTTTCTTTTGTATGCATTCCTTGAGACAATTACAGACTAGTCATTCAATATTTTCCTCAATTATTCACACTATATTTTATGTACAAAGTTTCACTCAACACAATGTGTTCTCTAAATGTTTAGTCAAGCTTGGTAAAGTTCTTGTATTGAGAATACAATTTTTTTAAAAGATTTATTTATTTATGCATACAAGATCTGGGGTACAGGCCAGAGGTGTGATGGGTGAGATGATTCACCAGAGACAGAGTGGGGAACAGAACAGGAGGATTGACTGAAATATACTGCTGCGGGGAGCAGCGGGTGAGTCAGGAGAGGTCTGCTGCGCCCTCTGGGTAGCTCCCTGGCTGGGGATCTAACTCATGCTGCAGTGGCTGCGGATAGCTTCCTAGGTTGTGTCTTAACCCCTTTGCCACCAGGAAGGCCCGAGAATACAAGTTTTAAAGGACTAGACTTTCAGAGTAAAATTAGTTATTCATGAGACATGTAGTAGCATCTACAAGGCATTTGAGGACAAAAAGTGAAATCTCTATAGATGACAAAATTTAAAATCTCAAGAACTGTAATTTTGCACAAATGCTTGAGCAAATTAATCTTAAAATATGTATCAGCAATCTTAAATTAGTTTATATATTATCCTAGCAGTATAATATCTAAGACCTAGTTTACGAGAGTAATTTGAAAGAGGACAAAGTTAGCAAAAGAAGGTTATTATAAAGTTGTTACAACTGCAGAATGTTAATGACAGTATGTAAGTCCAACAATAGAGGAATGCTTAAATAAATGTTGGTAAATCCATACAATGAAATGTTATATAATAATTATATAATCATGTAGTTTAGTACACTGCTTAAAATATAGTGAATATTAATGTATATTATTTCATTTCCACTTAACAAATGAATAAATGAATCACAATTATGTTCATCTTTTCTTCAAACTACTTGAGTTTATGGGGTATGCATAAATAAATAAAATAAATCTTTAAAAAAATTTTTTAAATAAAAAATATAATTCTAAAATTAATTACTTTTATGTTAAAAATAGACCAAAATAGATTGTTAATAAATTTTTTTTGAACTTTAAATTCAACCAAAGGATGGCAGTATAACATCAATTACTTAGAGCCAGGTATAGGCCTGCACTTTTGGCAAGAGAAAAAACTTTGTGGCATCTAATGATGTGTACCAGAAACACATTAATAGTTTGTGAATGAATCATTCCTATAATGCATAAGATTACTAATCACTCTAATTCATATTAAGATATTTATGGGTTAGAATTCAAAAATATTTCCCCTTTTTGCCTTGACTACCTTAATGGACATTTGTTACTTTCTGGCACCCACCAACCATCACTCTTCCTTTTTCTGGGGTTCTAACATTTTCTGACTTGTCTTGCTACTCATGGCCCTTGTGCTTCTGCCAGACTCCCCAGTGGTTTGCCTCTAGCCCTGGTCCAGGCTATTCAGTGCCTCCGGTGATGGTTTCAGGAGTGGTCTTTTTTCCCAATGGTTTCAACACATGTCTCTGCCCATATTCTATGTATAAATCTGAGAATATTTAACCATATTGAATTGTCTATCATAGAATGCTAGAGATGAAGGTAGTTTCACATGGCATCTCTACTACCCTTGCCCTTCCTGAAAAATTTAGTCCTAAAGTCAACAGATGGACAGGAAAAGTAATCAATATGCTTGGAAGGGAGGGGCCCACAGTGCTCCTACCTTAGATCACTAATGTGGGGAAAACATTCCCTTCTAGTCATAGGCACCCACTGTGGTATTTGATGCCACAGTTCTAAGAAGACCAGGTGAGTGTCCATCTGGAGAGATATCCTGGCAGTGGGTATTGGTGCCTGAGGCAACAGAGTAGAGTAGGAGTCAAAACCTGAGTTACTGGGCCTCCCCGGTGGCGCAGCAGTTGAGCGCTGGGTTGCGAAGCTGCCTGCAGCCTCTACAGCACCGGTTCGGTCCCCACCCGCCGGGTGAGGCACATGGCGAGCAGACCTCTCCTGCCGCCTGTTGCTCCTCTCAGCAGTGTATTTTGTCAGTCTGCCTGTTCTGCTCCCTGCTCTGGCTCTGGTGAATTCTCTCACCCTCCCGTGCTTCTGACTGTACCCAGTGCTTGTATAAATAAATAAATAAATCTTCTTCTTTTTTTTTTTTTTTTTTTAAAAAAGCCTGAGTTGCTGAGCAGGGAAAGTTTCCTGTGACTTCCCTACGAATACCCAATAATTTAATCTTATGATGTTGTATTTACTTCAGGTATACAACATGCTTTTGAGATATGAATTCATGATTACAGTCAAACTAATTAATAAATCTATTACGTCACACAGTTACCTAAATACTCAATCATTTTAAAAAGTGACAAAGTAGGGCCTCCCTGGTGGCAAAGGGGTTAAAATTTCAGTGCTAGCAAACTATCGCCAGCCACTGCAGGGTGAATTCAATCCCCAGCTAGGAACCTACCCACATGGCACAGCAGACCTCTCCTGTCTAACTCGCTGCTCCCCTCAGCAGTGTATTTCAGTCAATCTGCCTGTCCTGATCCCCACTCCTTCTCTGGTGAATCCTCTCACCCACCACACCTCTGGCCTACACCCCAGTTCTTGTATGCATAAATAAATAGATCTTAAAAAAACAAAAGGGACAGAGTGGAATAGCCTGGCAGCCACTACCTTACTTAAGGGACCAAAGGGTTCCTCCATAATGGGACATGTTGAAATCACGTACACCAGAGAAAGTGTGATTCAAGATTCTTCCTGCCATATATAAGTAACTTGAGTCTAATCACGAGTCTAATCATAGCTTAAATTCAGATTGAGGAGCCTTCCACAAAACCACCACCCTGTAATATTTCAGTCAAAGTAAGACCAAGGAATTGTTCCTGATTAAGAGACTAAAAGGACTTCCAGTTTCACTTTTTACACATAAGGTGCTTGGAAGTCACCCTTCTTTTCTAACAACAAATAAAAAGCTGAATAAGCCAAACAAAAAGTCAAAAACTCTTTTTGGATCCATAGAGTAGAAAGGACACAGGACAAACCACTGCCCCCCCAAATTTGATAGAGAAAGAGACGAACAAGGAGTAACAGTGTACTGCCATGGAGGCACATGAATGAAACCTCTGTGGGAACCAGTGGCCAGGTAGGGAACCTGAACTGTTTTTGGTGAATTGCTGGAAACTCAGTAAAAGTAAAGAATATGTGAGCTGAATACATGACATGATTCTGAACAGTGTCTATTTGCTAATAATATTATTGGTACAACCAGATAAATGTAAATATGAAGCCTGAGTATTTTATGGTATTCACTATAACAATGCTGATTTCTCAGTTTTAATGATGATATTGTGTTTACTTGGGGAAATGTTCCTGTTTGTAGGTAATACTCATTCAAGTATTTGAGCGATTAGTGTCAGATTGGCAGCTTACTTTAAAATAGTTACCATTAACAAGGCTCTTTATCCTATATTGGCAACTTTTGTGATTATTTCAAAAGGAAAATTAGGTGTATGTATAGTATTAAAAAAACTAAATTACCCACTTTTGAGATTTGATAACTTTGGTTGTATAAGGCGGAGTGTCATTTCTTTTTTTTTTTTTTCGAGATTTCTATTTATTTATTTTTACATCCCAGAAGAACTGGGGTGTAGGCCAGAGGTGTGTGGGGTTGTGTGTGTGGGGGGAAGGGGTGTGAGAGGATTCACGAGAGACAGAGTGGAGAGCAGAACAAACAGTTCTATTGAAATGCTCTGCTAAGGGGAGCAGTGGGCAGGACAGGAGAGGTCTGCTGCAACCTATATGGGTTTGCTCCCTGGCCAGGGATCTAACTCAGGCCATAGAGGTGATAACGCTGAGATTTAACCCCTGAGCCACCAGGGAGGCCCAGGTAGAGTGTCCTTTGTGCATACTATCAGCACCTATATTGTTCTTTCTTTTCCTCGTTATAGTTGAAGTCAAGAATGGCAAAAATATAGGAAAAAAAGCCACCATTCCTCATTATGAGAAGAATATGTTGCTTAAATCCATGGATATTAAAGTGTAACAGATTAGGTTTCTGTCTCATCTCTTAGGTTTGCTGTGTGGTCTCAGACAACCTATTAATGTCTCTGCATCTCAGTTTTTCACTATAAAGATGAAGATACTAATGATATCTCAGGGAGCTAATTGAGATATTCCTCTTAATGTATATGTCATAGTTTATGGCATGTGGTCCATGCTTAATAAGTGATATTATGATGTTATTTGTATTAGATGTGATAGTACTAATAGATGATTGCACTCTTTTCCACTAACCTCTATCTAAGTACTTTCAGCTTCTCTCTAAGCAGACCCCTCTTGTCAATCAGCACTGGAAATAAGATGAAATTTGTCTTCCATTGGTCGTTTTTTAGTAAATATCAATTAATCCAAAGAAAGAAGAATTAATTGGGTGCATGCTGTAAGAGGTATTTTGACAACATATACTGGTACTCATGATATTTATTAAGTCAACAAATATTTGATTTATTTATTATCTTCCTATCTTTGCTTTAGGTCTGCTCAGTGAGCTAGAGATAAAGATTCTTGGAGTGGGGTTTAATTGGATTAGGTAGGGTGAGAAGGGAGAAACAGTAAAGTATAAGCAAATAATATAGTATAACACAAACTAAATGTAGATCAGAATAAGATGAGTTAAGAGCATCTTTTGCCATTAATTGATGCTCTGGCTATAGACCTTCCATATACAAAGTGAGAAGTACAAGTAGCT